ACACACACACACACACACACACACACACACAGCGTTTTTGCAGTTTGCATGTATGCAAAAACGCATGTTGCGACGACCCTGGCGTGTGTGTGTGTGCCTGTTCGGATATTTCAACTCGACAACCAAGAAAACTCCGGCGTGAAAATATTGTCTGTGGATTCCCTGGCCAAGAGAGCCGCAGCACCAACCTTTACACACGTCTGGATCCTGCGAACGAGCATGCGAAGGTTTTGGCGGAAAAATGGCTAATTCGCGAACCAGGAAAGCTGGAAGGCTGAAATTTTAAGGGGATGTTCCCAGCCTACGTACAACTTAAGGATTTAGAACTCTGCCCCCAGATGTGCGTGGTTCCCACCTACAGTCCCGTGGAAGCTTTTGCGGAAAAATAGCTAACTTGAGGACCGGAAAAGTTGGGAAAGTAAAACTTTAAAGGGGTGTTCCCATTCAAATTCAGTGTCCAGTTGTGCGTGGGTTTCAAGTACTACCCCATGTTTTAGCAGGAAAATTGCTAAATCGAGAACTGGAAAACTGGAAACTTGAAATCTTGAGGGGAATTCCCTTGTCCAAGTACCACGTAGCTGCACAATTAACTTCCTAAACTTTGAGGACCAGTATGTTGCAAATTTTAACTCCTGAAATTCCCAGCGATCTTGCTACAGCATGATATCCTGCAAAAACACATAACCGCTCGGGTCCGCCCGGTGCGCGTCGTCAATGACACAGTCAAAATTCAAAAATAATCATAACTGGGTAAATATCTGTATTTATAGTTGTAGAAAGGTATGTGGACTTTTTGCTAATCCCAAGGCTTGAAAAATTGATATGTGTTATGTTTGATGAATAAATAAATGTGATCCAATGATTCACAAAAAGCGAACCATCGTCCTCGATGTCCTCATCGTTACTGCTCACAAGCACTGGGTTTACTCCATCAAACGTGAATTCAGTTGTGAGATTGTTCGGTGAATTTTGCAAAGACGGTTGCGTGACGAGCAGCAGTGGAGGTTTCCGTCTGATCCCATTTTGCTGCAAATGAGTAAGTATCAAATGACTTGTATTTGCAGAGCTCAGAAAAGCAAGATGCAAAGTTTGAGAGAAGTAATTTAATGTCGAAAATGCGCATTAAGGCCCTAGTGAGATGGAATGATCCACTTGAAAGCTATTAAGTTAAACTAGCTGCCAAAAACTCTGTGAAAATGTTGCAGGTGGGAAGAAACGCAGCGATGAAACAGCAGCTAATCAAAGCATTGAATTTCATTTTACAATTCTTCTAATCGCTTTTCAGCACATTATAGAATTTTGACAGTCTTCTGGGGTACACGTGCCTTTTTTACGCTGTTTTCTGTTCTGCTTCTGGTGCTTTTCAGCTGCAAAAGAACAGAAACATTCGCCACCTTTAAAGAATAACTACTGAGCACGACTATCTAAATTAACTCAGAATTTGCGTGTTTCAAAAGTCCGGTTTCTTGAATTATCCTGTTTGAAGATAAGGATTAGCAAATGGCATCCAGAAGAAGGTGATGATCGAATCATAAGGCTAGCACTACGTTTTTCCTCCCATTCTTTTTTCCGAAATTACTTTTGCAATAATCCCTTCCCTAAAAAATATTAAACTTTGCTGTTTTTAAAGGAAAAAGTCCTTAACGTTACCTCATTCTGTTCTTCTTCCCCATCTTCCTCCAACCCTTCCTCTTCGTCGTTGTACTCGTTATCTCCCTCTTCATCTTCATCTTCGAATTCTTCTTCCTCAACACCTTCCTCATATTCCTCTTCCTCCTCTTCTTCCTCCTCGTCTTCTTCCTCCTCTCCCTCATCCTCATCTTCTACCTCTTCCTCTTGAGCAACATCCTCTGCTACAACATTTTCTTTTTCTTCTAAACTTCGGGCCTGCAGAGAAACAGATTGTTGACTTTCAAAATGTAACCTCAAAGTTATGTTTTTACAATGTTCTTAAGACCAGGCCGTGTACCTGATTTTTATGAAGATCTCTGATAATACATTCATGATCATAAATCTCTTATAGTTGAAATACTGTACCTGAATGATCGGTGTGATTTGAGCCACAAGATTATCCATAGTACGCAGTCGCTTAATTGACCTCAGATTTCTACCACCTGCAGCAAATTGGTTTCCAAGCAATTTTCAAAAATATTGAGGGGCAGAAGAAATTTTTCTAACAAAAGAGGATAAGAAGAAGATATTTTCAAGAATTCGTTCTTTTAAAAGATTTGGAATTTTGACAAGTATTGTTCTC